CCAGCCCCGGACACCAAGAACCACCAATGCACCGACCCCTGAGGGCATCAGTCACCGGCAGGGAGTGTGGTGAGGGGAGATAGGCCTCCACACTTTGGAGGGCCTGGGAGTCCCCAGAGAGGTGGAGTCTAAGACCTGACCTGACATATAGACACAGACACAAACATGCATTCCCACCCTCATGCACACATATACAAACACTCAGCACTCACCCAACGTTGGGATTGACATACATGGACACTGGACACACAATCACACTCCCCAAACATACTCTATATCCCAGGTCCATAAACACACAGGCACTCACATGCTCGCACGTACATGCACAAACGCAGAGTTTGCAACACTCCGTGGGGGTTTTATGATGGGGTCGCTTCTATAAAACTGATTGTAACAAACAAAGAAGTGAAGATCTGCAGAGGGACACCGGCCTTGCATGTCTCCCCTTCTAGAAGATGCATGCATAACTGAAGATGAATAAAGGTTTTGTGAAATGACTACTGAGTCAGGTGCCGTCTCTGGATGCCCGAGGAATAAAAAAGAACCGGGGTGAAACTGCTTTACTTAACACTATGTAGTTATAATATTGTACCTGCTGTGTAAGATGTAATAATTAGGATTAATGTGCGACGTTTGACCGGGCTGTGACCTATTGTGATAAGCCAAAGCCAAAGGGTGGTGAGAGTCCTGACTGGCCTCTGGCCAGGACAGACCCCTGCAGCTGTGTTTGGCTGGAGGATGGGTGGGAAAGTTACCCAGCAGCAGGGGGCAGGGATACTGGTCCCTATATATTAGGGGACCAGAGGACACCCCAGCACTCTTTTTTCCTGCTGCTACTTTCTGTCCGACTCTGTGTTGCTCTGCTGTCTGTGCTTAAGGCTGTACACCCCGGGGTTTCGCTTTGCTTGCTTTCTTGCTAAATGTCTGTATGTATTTTTCCTGCTGTTCATATGATTCAGTGTATTAAACTCTGTTCCAAGAATTCTACTCTTTTCCAGAGCATCTTTTTGAGTGCCTTGATTTTAACTGGATCTAAAAAGGTTGGATCTCCACATCGTTGGTGGGAGAAGTTTATCATGATGGCTTTAAAATTTGCGACCACAATACATAAGTGTATATAAAGTGGATAATACATTTCTGCAGTTTCACAGTATTTCTGCCCTCAGCATGAAAATGTTTAACATCACCATTTCTCAATCCTACAGTTTACTGCAGGCTTTAAGAACAAAGGGAAAAAATAGACCGTCTGACCAAATCCACTTTATATGTTTAAAAGCTGTGTTTCAGTGGAGAAAGTGGAAATGAGCTGCAGGAAAAACTGACTTAAAAATAAGATATCTGAATATACGCACTACAGGTGGTCACAGTTCTCACATTAGAAACCAAAAACTGCAAATGTTACTGAGCCATAAACTGTCATGAAAGCTTAGTGATAGCTGACATCAGTCAGCCATTAGTTCATTGATGGAAAATCCCACATTACATCACATAATCAGTAACAGGGTAGTTCAATGTGACCTTTGAGGATTTCATGAAATCATAATAAAATAACAACAGACCTTTAAACTTGACAACAGACGATGACACAGACAACACATATCCTTGTTTTTACAGCTGAAATGACTCAAAGAGCTGCTGTGAATGCTTGACTCTTACATACTGTTCATATTTCATACCATCACAGTACTGTTTGGGTCAGTTTTGACACATAATAAATGTCTACTACTAAATTTGAACTACAGATCTGTTTAGAATGCACTTCAGCCTCTCTGACACCTGAAAGCTTACCAAGATGATTGAAATATGTTTTATTGAAAGTAAAAATGAAAAGAACTTTCTGGAACTGATGGCATTTATTATAAAACCCCGTATAACCACTATGACCATAAAACACTGTGTTGACTTCTGTATCATAAAAACCCTTGTAACTTTTATTTATTATTATTAAGTCAACCCTGCTGGTAAACAGAAACTGTTACTGAAAGCAACCACACAGACACCACAGTACGTTTTACTTGCAAGGGGAGCGTCGGAGAGCAGTGCTGCCACTCACCTGTCCGAGCAACTCTGATTCCTCCACCTCACTCTTTTATTGACAACAGAGGTCTCACTGCAGTTGTGAGTTCTCAGAATCGGCTGTTTGGGCAAAAGAATGAAAACACCAGCAAGTTTGATACCATCATCGGGAAGCTTGCGGTTCTCCAACAGGAGATTGAGAGACCAGTGTCAGAGTGTTAAAGAACAGCTTTGAAATTCTCATGAGTTGTCGCGAAGAAAAATTACCATCATAAGGGTCCTTTGTCGCCAGCTGCAAGGCCGGAGCCGAACAAAACTCCCTGATAACGACTGTGTTTAGACTGTTCTTCCCATTCCCTACAAGGCCACCTGGGTTGGCTGGAAGACTGTTTACTTAGCCTGGCAGGGCGAAGGACACTGTCTCAGCTGAACTATGGACACACACACACATACATATACTGATACTGATAAGCACTCACTGATGCATCACCCTCCCTATCCAACGCCACCTCCAACGCTTACCTCCCCTCTGATGTGGACATCGGGTCAGCTGGAGGCGCAGTCGAAGATTGCAGCGGTCCCAGATCAGATGTACACACTGGAACTCTTTCCCATGTTGCTGTCTGTGTTTATTGTGCTGTGGTGTGTTGATATCTGTGCATTCCTGTATTATCCTTCTGTGTTACACATTTCAATGTCTTTTCCTTGCTACCTGGCCTGACCTGTCTCCCCAATGTGATGTTTGTGTATTTTATGTACGGTCGGCAAGGTCTGTCATCTCGGTTGTGGGCAAAAGACCTGCAACTGACAAATAAAAGCTCTCTCATCATCTCATCTCTCATAATTCAGTTAACCAAGTGACAGTTTTAAGGCAAGCATGTGTAAGCGAAGTGTGTGTGTGACACTTCCTGACACGCATGGCGGTGACCTCTCAACGACATCTCTAGTCACTTCATTTAGAGCGTGACCTTTTAACAAACCAACATATACAAAAACAATAACTAGTTATTGTGTCCACATCACCCAGTGTGGCAACGAAACTCACTTTCTGAACATCTGAAAATCTTGGAGCAAAGCATTCGAACGGGGAGAAAAAGAAAACAACACAAACAAGACAGAGAAAGCTTTTTCTTTATTTTTGAAAAGAGTAATCTGATTCACACAGAATAGGTTGAGGATTTTTCTTTGAAAGAAAACATACATGAGCGTATTACCTCTGTGCATTTTGCACAAATGACTGAAACACATTTCAAAGATGTTTCAGGATTACACTTTTCTTTTTTTACACTGAGAAGGACACACAGCAGGTATTTCACAGATTTATGAAGACGAAAACCATCTTATCATAAGGAATAAACCTTTGTAACTTACAAAGAAATAGATGATACAGAGAGGTAAAATCCATAAAGTCATTATGTTTAAAATCCTTTATTGCATTAGTCAGCACAGTAAAAAACTCCAGCCCAATCTTTTAGATGAATAACAGCATGAATTAAAGTATAGCTACTGATCACAAGTATAAAAACTCTTCAGCTTCAAAGCTTATTTGTAAATATAACACTAAAGATAATCATCAAACTTTCAAGAATTCTGCCCTAAAGCTCCGACAGTAAAAGCTTCTAAATCTCACGGCCTGCAAATTAAAATTAAAGCTGCAATAAAATGAAAAATCTATTCACAGAGTATTAGCTATAGTAAGTGATCCATTTTTTCCCTAAATGTTAATGAAGACATCAAACATTTATCATAATAATATTGGTAAAAAATGACTATTTTATCCTCATCAGCCCACAACAGTGATTAGAGCAGGACATGTAAAATCCAATTGTCACATGCTGCAGTGCTCTCAGCGATTCATAAAACTGTTTAAGCTAGAAGGATCAAATCAACAAAGGCACCAAACTGGTTCTCATTAAGCTTTATTCCCAGCAGCCATCGTTTCTTTTTAACTAAAATAAAATGCCCTTTTCTTTTATACACTCATTCAATGACCACAGAGGACTCTTCTTTCCACCTGCCTCAAGTATGTTGAGAAACTTTATTGAACAACACTGCTGTGAAGACTCGATTTTACCATTTGCCTTCAGTGTCTTTCAACGATTTACCTTAAAGGTTGTCACTTATTTTATCCGCAGTGCTGTAAAAACCCGATTTTAAATGTTTGAGTAACCCACCAGTGATTTTTAAAAGTTAATTTTAAAAAACCCTTCATTTTACTGCTGATGCTTCTGTTTTCTAAAATGTTGGAACTAACCACCCTTAGTCTTAATGCTTGTGCACTGATCGATATATGTGTAGTTTAAGTCAGGCTCCAATCTATGTGCTCTGATGGAAGTTCTTGTGAAGATTTCAGACAGTCTCCTGGCTAGATGACGACATTAGACGCTCCTCCTCTGCAGTTTGGGGTGAACTTTGAGATGTCTCAGCTGCAGGGACAAACAAACTTATTTTAGAACAATACAGAGACCTACCTGCTCTGGTTTGTGCTTATATTTTCATTGGCAAACCTGCATTTTCTTTGCATTAAAATATCATTAAAGTTATAAGTGATGTTTTTTGTTAAACCCTCAAAATCTAAATCATAAACCTAAAACAGCAACTGTCAAAAATACTTACAAGAGACGCCAGAGCTACTGTTGGTCTCAGTGGAATCCTTTGACCCTGTGAAGGAAGGACGATGTTTTCAGATTCAGTCCAAAAAATGTTAACCTATACTTTCTTTCTTTTCTTTTATATGCAGATGAACACACTTACCTTTGCGGCCAGTGGGGGCTGCTGTGGACACATGAAAAAGTATTAACAACCTCTAATATGACCTCTATTTTAGCACATTTCTGTGTTTGCGCACTAAATTAACAGTTGGTGAGCATTGCACTGACGTCCACCTTAAAGTAAACCCAAACCCTAATTTATGTTTAAGACTGACTTATTAGCCTTGGAAAAATGTAGATGTAGTTTTTGATGTGTGGCCATTGAGAATTTCAGCATTCGAGAATTATTTTGAAAAGGCAAATCACAAACTTTGGTACTGTAGGTTCAGAGTTATTTATGGACTCTGCTGCTTAATTAATGTGACCTTCATATTAATGTTGGGTAGATTCAAACTCCCGACCTTCCGATCATGGGGCAATCACTCTACCTCCTGAACTATTCCTGTCACTAGCAGCTTCATGGTAAATTGCTTCAGGGGAAAACTTACCATTCTGAGTTGTGACTTTATTGTCAGTTTGGCTGATGGTCGAAATGTTGGATGCTACACACACAGAGAAACACACAAACACAAAATGTCAAAGGTCATGTTCTATAATCCTTTCTACATAAATCTTTGCAGAGTAACAAACTTACCATTGCTTCCATTTCCGTTGCCATTGCCTACACACACACACACACACACACACACACACACACACACACA